CATAAGCATGATAAGGAGCTATTTTGCTTCGCATGAATTGTAAAGTTCAACTGGATTTGAGATCGACGAGGGCGCAATAACAGAAGTAATATTATTGTTAGTCACTGCGGATTCGTATGTAATAAATTATTATATGTCGCTATAATAGCATATTTATGTAATGTACAGTTACAGTCGCTAGTTAAGCACTTCGCCACAATCGAATCATTGAGTATTAGTTCAAACAATACCATTGTAAAACAAAAAATAGATAGTTGACGATAAATTGGTAAATTATAAACGGATTAGTTAGAAATATATTTCTATAGTCTTTAGACCTGGCCACCTAAGCAGGTTTATATGAAAAGTGAATGATTTCTACCATGTCAAGCCAGTAGTGCAGCAGTTCAAGCTGCGTGATTTCCGCTTAATAAGTTGAACGTAAAACAACGACAAACTCAGAGTTGCCCGTCAATTTACGTTGAAAATATACAACGGGCAACGTAGTATATCAGTTCTTTAAGTTCAGCGTAAAACGACAGCAAATTTGGGAATTTCCGCTGTTTACATTGGGCGTATCAAACGCGCAATTTCTAAATTTACGTCGTTTCAGTTTCGACGGTTACGCGAGGGAAATTCGAACGTTTACGCACCCAAATATAAACAACGGATTTACTGCAAAACACGTTGTTAATCCGGCAAGCGGCTACGACGGAAATTCGAATTTTCATGCAGTGATGGATTTAGGTAATCGACACATATGAATAAGCACACCTGTTTGCTCTGACAAATCCAACTTATTCGTGCAGACACCAACTTGGACAGGCAGGGATGTTTCACAACATTATTTATGTCGAAAGGTCTAATAATCAACGAGTAACTTTTGTTACGCACTCAACGCAACCCTCAGAGTTGTCTTCTGAGAGCATTCAAAATGTTTCATTTGATATTCTAAACGAGTGCGATTTAGTTGAACAAAAAAGAATTCCGAAATACTGCAGCACTAATTAATTAAAAACTGAGTGAATCTATGTGAATCTAAGCGCGTTAGAACATTATACCGAACTATCAGCAAATTATATTTTTCAATTTATATGCAGAATTGTTCGAGTTACTGACAACGCCTAAATTGTAAATCGCTGTTCAAATTACACTTAACCAAAATTCGAGTTACGGGCAACATTCAAAAATCAAAATAATCTATATTGTTCAAAACTCTTCGGTTAACTGTTAATTTAACATCGAGTTACAATTAGAGCCTGGATATTTACGTCAATCGATGTTTTTGTAACTCGATATTCGTAGCACGACGTTTGTAACATTAACTATTCAGCATCTCACGCAACACGCACGCATTCAGATTATCAAATACGTCATATAATTATCACAAATATTGTGCATAGTAAGTCTCACCTCATACTCCGTATCTGCTACATCAATAGTAAATGTTGCGCTCGTTGTAATAACGCCAGACTGCTCATCGATTTCGAACAGGACTCGGACAGACTCTTTTGTAGGTGACAGCGAATATGTAATCATTCCAATAACGTCTGGATCCGTGGCATTGACATCCACAACAAATGTTCCTATCGGAGAATCCTACACGCAGAAAATTTTATAGCAAAATAGTGATTTACAAAACACAGATTTGACAACTTATGGAATAAATCAACAGCTGATTTCGCCGCGCAAACTTACGTTAGCTCAACATAACGATGACAACCGGGATATCCAATAAACAAATTGCGCGAGCTGGAAATCAACCTTCCATTTTCGCAATGCAATCGACTGATGGCGCTATAACTACTGAAAAGAAGCTGAGAATATACTTTTATAACTCCTATTGGTTTACAATAAAATGTAAGAATGATCTGTGAGTACAGTTGGTTGACAAAATAATATTTCGCACTTTTCAGTTTTTGTATTTGCGATACTAACGATACTTTAGGTACACGCTTTTATCAGGATCTACTTCTTATATGAACAGGTACAATACATATATGCACTGATAACAAAACTGCAGATACGTACATGGTAAACAAACGAAAACATTTCGTCTGGATCAATAGTAGGTGGGTTATCGTTGACATCTAATAAAGTAATATCAACAGTAGCATTGTCTTGTTTTGACGGCACTCCACAGTCATTTGCCAAGACTACCAGATACACAATTGCTTCCACTTCCCTGTCAATCGTACCATTAGTTTGTATTTCTCCAGTGATTTCATCTATCTCAAAGAAGCCTGCAACAGACAGAAAGGAGATAAGCTTTAATTATTGTAACTGTAGAT